TTCTTGTTCGTCCTGAAACTGACCCATTCCTTGAAGATTAGCGAAGGGATTCGATGAAGTTGAAGGTTTAACTGTCATTATAAATAGTGTGCCGACTAAGGTAGGGTCTTGTGAATTACTGTCGGCATAGAAGAGTGAAACATTTCGATCTTGGCTAGTGGATAAAAAGTTATTAAATGATAATAGTCCACCTTTTGTTTTTTTAAGTTTCTCAAAATCCGCTTTGGATAGACCTTGTCCTCGGTATAGAACAAAAACGTCACGTTCCTTCTTTTTAAACTGTTCTTTGTTCCTTTGTTCGAGTTGACAATGGAGATCTCGAATAAAAAAACTCATTTTCTTCATCGTTAGAGTATCCAATGTTCGAAGTGACCGATTAACCGTTCCGTAGATGAAAAGCTCACGAGTATACCAGTAAATTGACGTCTCAGGACTGTAATTCTGCTCGAACTCTTTGATAGTATCCAATGTTTTCTTGTCGTTGGATTTTTCCCGCCAAAATTGAATAAAATCTGTGATTTCTTGTTTTGTGTGATTGACTTCAAGTGTAATTTCTTTAAATAGCTGTGTGTACATAAATGAGGGTTCTATTTGATCTAGATTAATTTTCAAACTATCTTCGCCGATACTGACAAAGCTCATAGCGATATCGTTTTTGTAATATCGTTTGATGGTATCTAGTAGTGCTTCACAGAGACGGTTGATATCTGTGTGCATACCTTTAATTTTGCTGGAATTCTTTTTCCAATCGTGTATTAGGGATTCTGTGCTGCAGAATATATGCACACTCAGAAGATTAGAAATATCATCCACGATAGGTATAATGTGTTGGTCTTTAGGATTTGACAGAATGAGAAATGCCTTTTGGTCATTGATGTTAGTGAGAAAATCTATACCTTCATCAGATGTGGTGAAAATATATACTTGATCGGTCACGTGTTGCAGCTGTGTAAGTGTATTTTTACATTTTTCATTGTTTGGGTGAATGTTCTCGTCGATCCAGATAATTACATAGCCTTCAATCATGCACTGTGTTGGTTCCATAACACACGATAATGTCGTTGCAGTTGTTACGGCATCAGTTATGGATGTAGAAAGCATTTCATTCTTCTTTTGCTCATCCATTTTGAATTTATTTGCCACTTTATTACTAACCAACAATTGAGAGAAGTTGTTTGAAATTCAGTCAGAAATTTCTTTTTTATTGATCCGATAAGAGTCGTTTTTCTTGACTTTTTTACAACATCAAATGTACTTTTGTTTATCGACGTTTAGTATCGAATTTCAATAGTCGTAAAAGAAAATTATGTTGTAAAGAAAAAAACGATAAGGTTATTCAGTGTCATAGTGGATTGTATTGCTGCTCTTCGGCGATTTAAAAAGAACCATTTTTCTTCTGATAAGAACGAAAAAACAATACTGTTGTGTGTGCTTTGATTGTTTTCTTCTTTCTAAAGATATTATAATCGTCCAGACGAAAATATCACAAACAATATCAGACTTCTTTTAGATCAGAATTGAAAACTTAATTTTCTGTTGACTGAATGTGCGATTTGATGCATTATATTAGTTTTCAGGAAACTCTTTTTTTTGTGGATCTTATTTGGAACAGGGCATAAATTGAATGTCCAGGAAACTCTTTTTAAATCCTCGAAAAGAACCTACCACACGTCTCGAACAGCTCCTCTAAAACTATAAACAAAACTCCACAGCGAAGTAATAACCACTAAAGTGGTGTAAACCATTTCCATGCAGTCAGAGTCCACTTTCCACGATAACGTTTGAACTTCCAAACAATACTTCTACAATTCCTCGAGTAGACCTCCACTTTTCATAGCATCCACATCAACGTAGACGTGACTACACGTCTTCGGAGAATTTCCTCAAAAATTCAATTCAATACTGACGCAGAAGATGCAGTAGATAAAGAAGATGTAGGATATGAAGGAGATATAGAGATATGGGTGGCGGGATGTTCGCCAATAAGACTTTCGTCAATAAGACGTTCATCAATGACAAAAGTCCTGGAGATATATTGACGAAAGTACAGTGGGCTTTCACCCATTGGCGAAGTTCCAGGGAATGTATTGGCAAAAGTATAGTGAACTTTCGCCAATTGGCGAAGCTCCAGGGAATGTATTGGCGAAAGTATAGTGGTCTTTCACCAATTGGAGAAACTCCACGGAATGTATTGACGAAAGTACAATGGACTTTCTCCAATAGCGAAAGTCCTATTGGAGAAATTCCGGAATTCCAGAGATATAGGAGATATAGTAAACAGTTATTTATTTATTTTGATTGTTTCTTCGAGCAACCATCGATACGTTGCATGAATATATCAGAATAGAATACTATTAAAAGTCAAGCGCTATTTACGGATTATCTGCACTGGTTACCCCATATCTTCTATATCCCTGTATGCCCTATATTCCAAAATCTCCTATACCTCTACATCTCCTATATCTCACATACCTTCTCCGTCGATATTTAATTGAGTTTCCAGGAAAACTCTCACAAAGCATCATATAGCAGGAATACAAGGTATCAGAAGGTACAGGAGGTGCACAGTTCGTATTATTTGATGCTAGGACTACTATAAACCAGACACATCTATCCATGATTCCAAAAATAATCTCTCAATATTAAATATAGGTAAGACTACAAATCCGTTAAAGAAAAATTCCTCCATATATTTTCCAGAAAACCACTTATCCCAGAAAATGCAAGAATTCGTCTCCAAAGCAACTCTCCATCAAACGAATTGAAAAAAAAACAAAAACAAAGCGCTCCATAATCCTTTGCCACATTTTTCATGTGATTCCATGAGAGCCACATCAGCTCTAATCTTTCTAGAGTTTTTGGATCGGATTCCTCCTTTCAAAGCCACTAGGGTATGGCCAACACCGCAACAGTTCAACTAAACCATCCTCACGCGCTACAACTCCTTTCACAACACAACTCCAAATATGACACCTATGTGAAAACATCTATGACCAATGCTTGACAAGACAACCCGACACCTAACTACCAGGATGCTCTCGTGGACTTTACACAGCACCCATAGCATGCACACATGCTCAGGTGCCCTTTCCAACTGTTGTAAACACGTCTCATCATTCTCCCCATACACAGATCAGCTGCAACCTTGTAGACCGCGTACCGGGTACTCCAATCACGAAACCCATAGAGCCCTGAGGTAACGTGTCTTCTATTGTTCCCAATACTTTCACGACAAATCACTTCCTGGCCACTCCTTTCGCGACACCCACAGCAAGCGCAATGTGATATGTGTCCTATTGTTCTCAGTTCTTTCGCGGCCAGTCCTTTGGCGGTCAGTCCTTTCGCAGCCAGTCCTTTGACGGTCAGTCGTTTCGTGAATTGTCCTTCCGCGATCCGTTCTTTCGTAGCACTCACAGCTGGGGAAGGCACATGAGTCGTTTCGTGGGATGCGCAGCTTGACAGACGCGTGAGAGTCGTTTTGAGTCACCCACACCTTGGCGAACCCGCACCGGCACCCACATCGACAGCCAACAATGTTTTTGAAAACCTCATTCTGCGTTTCCATGATATGATCTTTGTGTTTTCGAAAGTCGGTTTTTCTTCGGTCGAGTTTTTTATTTTGGGTAAGTGAAAGTGTATTTTTCGGAAATTCATTTTGGGTTTCCGAAAATGTTTCTAGTGCGAAAAGGCAATTTGTTTTTCCGGAAACTCATTTGGTGCGGAAAGTCTATGGACTTTCCTGGAAAGTAATATAAGGCATCATATGGTGGCTGTGGGTGTGGAGTGTGGGTAAGTCTTGTATAGCTATCCACACCCACTCACTCACCCATACCCACACCCTCAACCATACCTGTACCTCACACCTCCGCACCCTACTCATTCACACCCGGTGGCATTGTTTAAAAACAGCTCCAATAAAGTCTTCTTTGACCTGAAAAAGACCGTGTCCAGGTTTTTAGAAACCTTGTCATCATAGTCTACTTTTGAATATTTGAGATAGAATGTATCAGATAGAAAACACCATTGACTATTAAAATCACTATCTGGATTTGAGCCAGATGCCTGACATTATAGAAAAAAATCTAAAATACGTTGAATTTCAACTTTTGTCCGCTGCTTTATATCCGCACGTCCTTCGAAAAAGTGCTCCCATCCTTCCAAAATTCTAGATCCGCCATTGTATTGTTTTGAAATAGACATCATGATGGGTCATTTCTTTCTTTTTTATGATCTTTGAGATATTCATTAAAAACGCAATTTTTTTTTATCTTCTTTTATGTAATATCATATTCTAACATGCTTCAACGACATCTTATTTATTCGTTTGTTTTTTTTCATTCTTCGTAATGCTTATCAACACAAAACAATCTGTTTTTATTAAAGATGAAAATATTCGAATTTAAAATTCACAGGTATAAATTAAAAAGATTATCTAAGTTCTCTCATAAGAGTAAAATAAATCAATTTGTTAGCAAATATATTCATCTATTATTAAGAAATCGAACTTGAAAAATTTCTATATGAACTTATACATATTTCTTTTTCCAGCTTTTTATCCTACTTGAAGATTCCCACATTGAAATAACGATATTTTTTGAAGCGACATAGAGCATTTTTTTAATCAATAAAAAGTAAACGTGCTTATTAATATAATTAGAAATTTAACTTTTAATTTTTCAGATAGTCAATTGTATATTTTATGCTTTGGTACAACGTTAACAAGTATTGTAATTCTTCTAAATTATTTTCAACAAAGAAAAAGAAAAAAACAAGAAGAGAAACGTGTATGTTTATTTATTTAATTATTCATTGGTTCTCATTGTTGATATAGAAAAACGAATATTTAAAATGTAAAACATTATTTGATTTCAGAATTAGCTAAGAAATCAATGATGTGACATCGTTTTTATTATTATGACTACAAAGCTGGTCAAGGACATATATATCAAGCATGTAGACATTATTTTAATAAACAATTAAGAATTGTGCCAAGAGTTTTGATGGATGTTAGTGAAATTTCATTAAAAACAACTATATTTGGGTGAGAAATTATTGAAATGTAAAAAGCTACGATACTCCTATAGAGACAGATTTTACCCATTGAGAAGATTTTTTCTAGTTTTTGCTTCGTCACTATGAACTCAAAATGCATTTGTCAACATTTATTATAGGTCGATATATGAATTACCAATCCTAATTGCCACATCTGCTTGCCATTGTCTTGCTCATGTTGATGGTGAAGTTGCCACAGCTCGTGCTGCAACTGAAACTCAATGTATTTTTACTTACAATTCGACGTTTTCAAATATGCCAGAAGAAAAAGTTCTACAAACACTCGGTATATCCTTTTTTTTCTTTTCTATCTCATTTTCTCTTCAATGTACTTAATTATCTTAGGTCCAAAATTTTTACATATTTATTTAACAAAACCTATAGAAATCTTAGAACAAATAGTTCCACAAGCTGATAAAAAAGGATATCCAGCAATTTTTATTACATGTGATCAGCCACATGAACGTATTCGAGATTTTGTATTACCATTATTTGAAGAAGCATCAAAGAATATTGATCCAGAATTAATGAAGAATATGTCAATACCAAATTTGAATATACCTGGCATAATTGTTAAGCAACATTTTGGTACCGGTTCAGTAACATAGGCAAATATTGAATGGTTAAGAAAAGTGCCACAATTACCAATTATTTGCAAAGGTATACTCTCACCAATTGATGCAGAATTAGCAATTAAATATGGACCAAATGTAATTATTGTCAGGTCTACTTTGCATATAATCAGTTAACTGAATATATCTTTTGCTATTATTCGTTTTAGTAACCATGGTGGTCGACTAATTGATACAGTACCACCAGCTATTCAATGTCTAGAAGATGTCGTTAATGCTGTAGATGGACGTGCAGAAGGTAAGTTTGTTTTAATGACAATTGAAAAAAAACTCTAACGGATTTTTAAAGTGTTTTCTTAAGATATCAAATCTTAGGCAGAATAAAGTTTTTTAAAACGTCTCGACATAGTTAGGATGAGAAAAGTTACCTATCTGCTTCCTTTTTAAAAAGCCTTTCATTTGGTTAAACTCTCTATATTGTTAGAGTAGCTCAAGCTTGCTAAATCTTCTGATTTTTGGACTTGTCTCCTGACCAAAAATCTCCTCATTTCAGGAGTTGATCTTTGTTCTTTTTTTTAATATTTGGCTGTTAGCAATATTTTGAATCAATAAAAGAATTCAAAGAAAAAGAGAACTATCGCAGAGTTTCAAAGATATAACAACCAACAAAAACACATTGCTTTTACATCCTTTTACTCAAACTAAAGTCATTAATTACAATTATATTAACTAATTTTATATAAAGTATTTGTTTAAACAGAGATAATAAGAAAATAATATTATATGTGTAATGTTTTGACGTGCAAGGCTGGGATTACTATTGAAGTATCAAACTCATTAGATAAAAATCTTATGACAAAAACTGAATCGCAAATCGATAAACGATGGTATTTCTATTTCATCAAAAAGGACTGCAAAATTAAAATTTAGTACTTCATCACTAACAACAAATAAACTATATACCGAACATGCCAAAATAGTTTATTTTGCGAATATCTTTGCACAGAAAAATAATAAAATCTTGATCTTTTATTTTTTTTTAAAGATCCACCATGAAAAGCTCTACAAAACTTATATTAACAAATCAATACTGACATGTTCGAATGGTTTTTCCCATACGACAAATGTATAATCTACATAATAGTGCTACTTTTTACCATGTTGTACGTAATAAAAATGTATCGAAGATTTTTTTGTTTCGCACTAAAGATTTGTTCATACAGCTTTTATAGAGCTTTCGACGGTTCATCGTTAAAAAAAGCAAGATGTTATTATTTTCTTTCGCCTAGACATACCCAAAATAATTTTAAAAAAATCTTCCAAACATTTTTATTATGCTCGACACGATGGGACGTAGTACTATCATGTTCGTTGTACATTTTGAGTATGGGAAAAACCATCAGAGCGTGTCAGTAGATATTGCTGCTTATACAATGTTTGTGAAGTATTTCGTGGCGCCTTTTTTAAAAAAAGATCAAGATTCCATCATTCATCTATGCCGAGATAAAAAATGTTGTAAATATTTTGGCACAGTTGATATAATTCAAATTTAAGAAAATTTTTTCACCATCAACTTGATATGTAAAAGAGAAAAGTGTATATAGGAATGAAACTTCGAATTTTTCTTACGAAAATCACCAAACGATTCTTTATTTATTTAGTATTTGTTGATACTGGTATTCGAAGTGGAACTGATGCGTTAAAAGCATTAGCATTAGGTGCACGAGCTGTTTTGATCGGTCGATCAATTTTATATGGATTGGCTTGTAGTGGGCAAGATGGTGTTCGAAGAGTATTAGATATATTAAAACATGAATTAGTTTATGATATGGCTTGTTGTGGATTAACATCGATTGATAAAATTAATAAAGATATTCTTTATAAACATTAATAGAAATAAAAGTGAAAGATAGGCATTTGAATTGAGTTTTCTTTATTTTATTCTTTGATTCCTTTTATGATGTTTCCACTTATTAAATGATTATTTGGGTGTGGATGTGAAGAAAATACTCACGCCTAATTACATTCTCACACCCACGCTCCACTCCTTGCCGTTTCCTCTTTGCATCACTGCCTTGCCTAGAAAATATTTTTAAAAGAACCAAGTTAAAATTGAATCAAATACTATTTTTATTAAAGCATCAAGAAATAGCAAGTAGGGTAATAGTCACATATCTATCTAACATTAGAAAATATATTCAAATCAGAATAGGAATTGTGAAAATGACCTGACTTGTAGAAAAAATTTCTAATAATTTTTTTTTATTGTATAATATGATAAAAGATAAAAAACAAATCTGATATGGTTTTTATCATGAGGAATTGAATTATTTGTACTATTAATACTTGTTGTTGAATAATTTCAACACATACTACTCTTACTTGTTTGACAATAAACGACCTCGATTTAGATTTATTGATAATGGAGGATGTGAAGTTCGCCAACCATTGTACTCATTGTTGATGAGCACTCGTCTATTTTATTTCAATTCATTTTTAAAAGATAAAGAAAATAGCCAAACAAACCTGTAAACTTGCTCGATCGAGCTCATTCGATTTTGCTCAATTTAATATGTGTTGTAGGAGTGGGAGTTTCAAGAATTTTGATGCAAGCTGTTTGAAAAAAATTGTTCTTCCGTTCTTGAGATATTGAAATTTTTCGTAGGATACTATTCTGTAGTATTAAGAAAAAAATAAGCTTAAATGAATGCACTATTGATTCACAAAATCGATATGATAAAACTCTTTGAATAATTTCTAAGCGAGCTTAGGTAAATTTCCTATAGAAAAGGGTTCATTGTTGAAGATTTTTCAATAAGTCTCCTAGAACCATTCTTTGAGATCGTACGTCAATTTTTTTTCATAACTCTGTAGTACTCAGTAGATACTTTAGACCTACATGAAACTGACTTCTATAAATTTTGATTTTGCTCTGGATCGGACTCTCTCAAGGTTGCGATTATAATCTAAACCAAGTTTTTGATGAAAGTCTCCTGAACGGTAGGAACTATCTAGAGAACTGAGTTTTCTTTTAGAGGATTGAGAACTCATTGTGGCCAAAATTTCAGCTCTCTAATTTTATCCATTCATGAAATATGCAAGTGCAAAAAATATTAAAAAAAATAACAATTTTGTCATGTACTTTGTAGTATCGGTCAAGTCATCATACAGTAAAAATCTCAAGTAAAAGACATGTATACTTGATGAGACATAGAAAATCACAAAAAATGCACGTTTTTTTTGGTGATAGTGACCTGAAAAAAATTTAAATATCTCGAAAACTGAAAAGTATTTTTTCAAATGACTTGCGTCAAAATTGTAAGAACTCTTGCCTCGACAACATATATAAAATTAAGCAAACTCTGACGACGTCGATTGTGCAGAGTAGGTTGTGACTTATGTGGAATAGATCATATATATTATTGATAAATAAATGTTAGGATATAATATGTCGAATAAAATAATAACGGAGAATAAAGAAAATTGTTTTTAGTGAATAGTAATGTAAAAAGAGAAAAGAAAGATAATAAAGAACATATATTGGAATATATTATTGTTAAGATGGATTATTGTTCAATGAAGATAAATTCTGATTCGAAACAGCGATTTATTTTTTTTTTTTTTTGTCAAATTCCATTGAAAATTTGATAAATAAATAATTGATCGTATAAATATGTTTTGAAAAATGTTCTTTAGTTAATAATCAATAAAAATGTTCATTTTTTAATTTGTGCCACATATCAATTGATCGATTTGGCCATTTTATCATTAAGAACCAATGTTTCAAATAATCTCCACTTTCTGATTGACCTATTCGAAATCCACCTAGTATTAGAGAAATCTTATTTAGTTCTTTAGTTTAAAACAAATAAATTAATTAATTAACATTCAATTCTTATCTCTTAACTTTTCAAAACAAAAATATTATTTAATTGTTGAATTAAACTATCACTAATCAAATTTATTAAAATAAGACATTTAATAAGCAATGATTTACTCTAGTAAAAATGATTTATTTCTAATAAATAAACTTCAATATTAGAGTTCGAATTCTCATATTTTAGATCTAATTTGTTTCTATATTGAAGACAAAAAAACAAAGAAGTCGAGATAATTATTAATAAATAGATAAAATCTAGTTACCAATAAAATTGTCTTTTTTCCTCAAATCTTTATCATAAACAGTTATTTGTAATGTTTTTTTAATTAAATTTTTTAATTGAATATTTTTATAAATAAATTCTTGATTAAATTGTGGATTCAAAGTTTGTTTTTTAATATCTGTTTTAAAATTTAATTTGTTCGATAAATGATCAAATGAAAATAAACATAATTGACAATAAGGATTTGATTTACGATCAGTATCAATTGGTAATAAATAACAAGCACGTTTTATTTTAACATGAAAA